CATACGACTGTCCACTTCTCACTACATTTAAAACCTCGGGTTTGATCAGAATATTCGTGCAGTTGTCGTATATCTCTATTGTATTTTCTGCCGTTTCTAGCAATTTATAATACAATTACAATTTCATGTTTTTATGTATTTTGATATTAGTTATGTAATAATTTTACACCACATGACAAACCTCTGCCATAAGTTGTATGAAAAATATCTAGATACAAAAATAATAATAATTTTCTGTTGATTGACAAACAATTACACAACAAAATTATTTCGAAACTTACGGAATGAATAGAAAATAAAATATAAATAAATCATATATTTCATAATAATGTTGTCTGGGAACTTAATTGAAACACATTATTATATTAATACAATAGAAATACTATTTTAGATAAATGTTGTATTTATAGTAATTTAATAAAAATGTTTTTAATATAATTATCTATTGTTTGTCACACATGTTTAACTTATAATTTCGATGTATACTTATAATGAAAACAAAGTTATACAAAACTATTTATAAAATTAATAGCTTATTGATACGATAAATAGTTTACGATTTAAATAATTAAGGATTTACTGTAGAAATATAATTTTTAAAACAACTATCCCATACGTTTTCAAAAATTCAATCAATTATAGATATAATTATAAACAAAGTAAAATATTGACTAACTTTAGAAATATTTGTTCATTTAATTAAAATTCTGTTTATTTCAATTTTTGTTATACCGGTACTTTAAGATTATTTATTGTAATAATACTATTACAAATACCTAAATATTTAAAATTCTGTCATTTACAATTTAGTATTATTTTATAAGACTTGTGTAATTATTCTGTTGTAATAATTATAGTTTACTAAATGTCTACTATTCGTGTGTATTAGTACATTAATTATTGTTTTATTATAAATAAATACAAATAAAACTTATATCTAGTTTTCACTTGATTACGGTACTTTATTGTTACTAATTATACCTATACCTTTATGTCCAATCATTAATACAGTAAAGGTTTTCTAAAAACTTTCTAATCATGCATTCAAAATATTTCTGCAATTTTCTTGAAACCAAAATCTGATTGAATCTAAAACACAACTCATTGTGCAAACCGTACACTCAATTCTCATTGGATTCCTAGTTCACAGCGAACTTACCTAGTAAATAAAACACTTAAAATACAGTACCTTTCATATACTAAATTAATAATAACTTTACTTATGAAATATAATTACCTCCTATGTACGTAAAGTCCTAAAAAAGTAAACTCACCAGTGAATAAATATTTGGAAAACATTTTTGATGAAAATCCCCGTAATATTAACAACACTTTTCTATATCGAGATTAATTTGCGAGCATTTAATAGAAACATTATATGAAATTCTGAACACAATTATGTTTTTGAGCAAAAATCGGCGAAAACATACTGTTGGAGATCACCGATGGCCAGCACGTGATACCCATTCCGACAGCACCACCACTAAGACCAAGAGTCCATTGGCTGACCAGACAGTAGGCGCCCAATCATCGAGTGATGTGGACAATGGGTACGCGAACTATTGGGAGGTAAAGGACAACCTCATGAAAGCGTGCGCTATATGTCTGGAGATTATGGATGAAGAGGTATCCCCGGCCATCAGACAATTGGACTGCGAACATGAGTATCACGCAAAGTGTGTCAACACTTGGCTCTCAAACCACAACACGTGTCCCATATGCAGGCAACGGGTGCTCAGCCGTGGCTACAAACGGAGTAACGCCGAGAAAAAGGATGAGATGGACGGCTTGGCTGATGGGTTGGCTGAACTGAACGTATGGTCTGCGGGCGCATACCTGTCCAGAAGGGACGACCAGACAAGTCTCATGAGACACTATAACAGACGACAGCCTTGCCGGCCAGGTATGTATTACAGCCACTCGCAGGTGCGCTACTCTCACGACTTCTTTAATTATTTTTGGCTTTAAATGTGACCATTAATTGCAAAAATTATAGAATTTTGAGTTTCTAATAATATTGGGTAAACTTTATATCAAATATCTATAAAAAAAACCTTAACTTTGTTTATCACTAAGTCACTAATCAATAAAAAGTTTATAATATTATGTGAATTAAATTAATTAATATTTAAAGACTCGGTTCACACAACAGCAGCTGATTAAATGCTGTACAGTATTATGAGATTTAATAAAAAAAACATTGAATGACAAATGAAATATAAGTTTAATAATAATTAGAGAAAAATAAATTAATATTTAAAGACTCGGTTCACACAACAGCAGCTGATTAAATGCTGTACAGTATTATGAGATTTAATAAAAAAAACATTGAATGACAAATGAAATATAAGTTTAATAATAATTAGAGAAAAATTAAGTTTAATTTATTGTTTTAAATTAAGGAGAAGTTATATAGAAAAATACACACAAAATGTTAACGCAAATCAAATGGTGAAAAAAACTTAAATTACACTTAAATTAAATTATAAATTCGCCAAAACTTGCAAACGTGTGAACACAGCACACAAATCAGTGTTCAGACATTTGTGAATCAAATATATTTGGTATCAAATAATAATAATTTAAAAATGAACGCAAAGTATACACGAATTTTGTCTCAAAACAACTAATCATTCAAATGATCACCACTTGTGTGAAGCACTCCTATATCTCGTGCTTATGGATACTCTGCTGATGCCGTTTCAGCGATCGTTTCTCTTTGAAATTCTTGACACAACCATTAATGCCGCACTTGTAGGGCACCACCACCTCGTGGATGGCGATGTGTTGTTGCAGCGCTTTCTTGCAGTGATACACACGACTACACTCCGGGTAAATGCATTCAAACCGATCGCTCGAGTGGACCACATTCTTGTGCTGATACAAGCAGATGGATGTCTTGAAGTACTTACCGCAGTCATCGACGTCACATCGGAACGGCTTTTGCGTCGAGTGGCGGCTCCGGTGTGTCGTCAGACTGTTCTTATTGGAGGTCTTGTAGTCGCAGAGGTCGCACGAGAAGCGCTTGAGGGGTGAGTGGGTCTGCCGTTTGTGCGTCAGTAGTATACCGCGAGTCTTGAAGAACTTGTCGCACTCGTCGCACTGGAAGGGCTTGGCGTCCGTATGGATACTCATATGCCGTTCCAAATAGAACTTCTTCGACGTCTTGTAGCCGCACATGTGGCACACGAACGACAGCATCCCGTGTTTGTACGACAAGTGGTTCAGGAGCTTGAGCTCCGTGGGGAATAGGCAGCGACAGTGTGTGCACCGGTAGTCCCTCTTGCCGTCGCTCATGCCTATGCCCAGCGATGTGTTACTAGCGATGCGCTTAGCACTGGGCGTCATCGGCGGTAAGTGCACTGTCATTGGCGCCGAGAAACTCTTGAGGGTTTTCACGGCTTTACTGTTGGGATTAGGAGTGGTGTTGGCGTTAGTATTGTCCGTGAATTGCATTAATTCCGTAATCAAACGGAAGTTCTTTTCGATGGTGAGGCGGGCGGTCGACCGCTGGGACCTCCGCTTCGGCGACCCATTCGTCGACGACTCGTCACTGAAACTGCGCTTCGATGGACTCAAATCGTTGATACTTTTCTTCGCTTTCTTAGGCGTCGATTGCAGTAAATTATCTGCAAATAAGTGTACAAATAGTTAGCATTAATCGCAATAATACTCATAATTGTGGTATTTATAAACACTCGTTATAGTGAACTTATGGCACAATATATCAGTCATATACAGGTATCACAAATGAACACTATTTGTCGCCATACCGGTGCATAAGATTAAATTTATTACATAACTCTTTAAAAGCTTTAATTGAGTTATAATCGTGTTTTACAAACACTGCAAACAGTTTCACTATAACGAGTGGTCAACTCCAACACAAACTTACTTTCAAGAAGTGCCGCATTTGAGATAACTCTGGGACTAATGCGAGGACTTCTCAGTGGACTACCCTTTCGCAGAGGGATTCTCAGTGGACTACCCTTTCGCAGAGGGCTTCTCAGTGGACTACCCTTTCGTAGAGTAACAGCCCTTCGCATGGGACGTACCCTCCGGGGACTACCGGTGGTGTGATTATTCTGTTTATGTCGGAGCAGATACTTCTCGGCCAACGTCTTGTACGGGCACTGATCGCAGTCGAAGAGCCGCTTCTGGCGGTGCTTTAGGCGCCAGTGTCTCACCAGTTGGTCCTCCGTGTCGAACAATTGGTAGCACTTATCGCACTGGTATGTCGTGTCGTCCACGAAAGACTCGTCGCCATTGAGGTGAACGCTTTCCGTGTGGACGTCCAGCTCGGACTGCGTGTCGAAGTCCTGGTCGCACGCGTAACACGTGTATGGGGTGCACGTGCTCTGCGGGGGGCTGTTGGGCGACTCAGACACCTCCTCATCCACATTCTCCTCGTTCTCCCTGTCCTCTGAATAATGCACACAAAGTGATTGTCATTAAAATCAGACCATTAGCTCGTAATTAACTAAAACAAGTGTCTTATGAGTGCAATGATTGCTAAGATGTTATCAATGGTATGCAGAGATTAATGCATACTTTTAACATAATTAAGAAATTAATTGTAATATTAATTAAAACTATAGATAATTAATGTTTAGTGTACTACTAGTTTAGTAATCAATATAATGAACCACTTATACCGCTATTCAAGTTGTGGTGATTATCATCATCGGTATGATTAGTATTATCATTATTATCATTAGTGGCGCTGATGTCTGTATCAATGGCATTGGACTGGTTGAGCAGGGGGTCCAACACACCACTGTTGAGACTCTGATGTAGTCTTAGAGCTGATCCATCGGGCGATGACTTGAGCCCATCGTAAACGGTGTTAAACTTGTGGTAATTCTGGAGTCGCGCGAAGTGTCCCGTTTGGTTGCACCGACACGCGTTGATCAACACCTTGGATGTGCTGCGGATGTTCTCCAAGATGTGGATCAGCTGTCGCTCGAACCCCAACTCTTGTCTGAGTTTCTGGATCTCCTGTCTTAAGTCATCGACAGCCAGATCATTATCACGATCGCTGACCACAACACCACTCATAGCCAGTGTGAGTGTGTAATGGCTGTCGCGCTAACTATAATCACAACACAATAACAGTTAATACAGTATTAACAGTAACACAACAACTAATGCCGTGTTTGCGGGCAATTCAATGGCACACAAACTTGCGGTCATTTGTTTCGCACAATTAAACGTGTGATTAGTTTTCGCATTCAATTAAATCAATACGAAATTCATATGTTGTTTGTCTCTCGTATCGACTTTTT